TGGGAAAAGGTGAACGGTTGGACTGGGTGATCTTTTAGGTCTTTTCCAACCTTGGTGATTCTATGATATGATTCTGTGAAAAACAGTTTGCCATGCTGAGCTTCTGAGAAGGCAGAGCTACCTTCTCTACTGGAGGTAGAGATGTTCCACTCTTCTCCCAGGTACAAAAACAAAAGGCAGCGTCCAAAAAAAGGAGTTCTGCAACCCAGTATAGAGCATGGAGGGTGCCTGTACACACACCAACAGAGGTAACTAATTTCAGCCACAAAGATGTCATTACAAGGAAGGGAGCTACTGTCTCATGGGAGCCGTACACAAAACTGCCTTTGCTGCTCCTCATCCATTTTCACTGGGTAGGCTTGGTTTCCAAGCTTCATTAATCATTCAGTTTTGCAAATCTTTAACCTTCACATACATAACCCAAATATGTGTTGGAATTGACAGATTCACGTTGCTTTGAGGAAGCGCCAAACTTAGACGCCTTTCAAGGGACAGTTCTTGATTTACAGAATTACACAGAATCCCCAGGAGAGCTGCAATCCAGCACTTCAAGAAAGGAGCCTGGGAGAAAAAGGATGTTATTCACTTATTCGCAGACCCAGCCTGAAGAAGTCACTTGTTCTTGTAATGCCTCAGTTTACTGTTGGCACCACCGTGACATCACTGTGAACTGCTACTACAGTTCACAATAATGACAAAAGGGGCATTAAGAAGTCACTCGGCTCAGAGGCTGAAGTTCGCACACTGCTGTAAGCCTCTCACAGCGACAGCAGCACTCTTGTGCTGTGTACTGTCCACCTACAATGCACTTAACCTAAACATAAGGAGTCTGTGCAACAGCACACACACAACAAAAATGCACAAAGGCACATAGTTTGTCCATATTAACATGGCAAGCCTGCAATGCATGTAGGAAGGGAGCTGCTGATTCAGTGTCTTAGCTAGTTACCCTGCAGCACTTTGATCCTCCTGTTCTGCTTTTAAGCTATACAATCCTATTCCAGGCATGGAGGCAAATTTGTTCCCAGTCTCATGATTAGTAGGCTGGACCAGGACACCAGACACCAGTCTGGTTCTTATCATAGTCCTACAAGCAGCTAGGCCAGCTGAACTGAAAGCAGGTACTGGGCTCAGAGAGGAATGACTGTCACCATCACCACAGTACCATGTCAGCAAAGTTTGGCCAGTGAAGGCCCATTTCAGATGCCCTGGCATTGCTCAGAGCAAGTCTGGAGTGTATACACAACTCACTGGGGAATCCTCATCCCTACAGTCAAAGAATCCCTACCACAAGAGAAGCTGATGTGCCACAAGTGCACGCTTCGCTGCTTGCCCCTTCTCCCAAACACTTCTGTCAGGAGGTACAAAAAGGACATGAAACCCAAAGTTGTTCATTTGAACTGCCTAGGACTATGTTCACATGTGTACTGTGTTGAGATCTACAAGCTTTTAGGTTTTTATGCTATTGTTCTAAGCAAAAGATTTCTGGTGGTGTGCTTCATTATACATTGGGAAACAGACTGTTGGAGGAGAAACTGAGCAAGCTGGAAGATATTTCTAGATCTTAACATCTGTAAAGTTAATATCCATTTGGAACAGGGCTGTACATTATCCTCTGGAGATGTAATTGTGCAGCATCATCTCTGCCTTGCAAGTTACACTGATCAGCTGAGCTACAGCAGCTATACAACCTGATTTTGTATTTGCTACATTCCTGGCACCAGCCTGTTTTTCAGAGTAGAGGAGATGAAAGATTATGTTATGCACTGCAATTGTATCCTGTATATTCCTAGCATTTTGCTGAGTGCTTGGATTTGCAGAGGATGAGATGATGAGGCTATGACACAAGACTCAGTGAGGTAGAAAGCCAGGGTCTCCACATGGCTGAATGGTCTCCCTCTGCTAAGCAGAGGCATGCAGAAAGGCCTATAGTGCAGCCTCTGAAATGGGAATTGCGAAGGACCAGCACTGCAGAGTTGAGTGCAGGGAGTAAAGGCTACTGAAAAGCTGGCAGCTTGGTCATGTTATAATAATCACCTGGACTTTGTGTTAGAAACTTTATGGTTGAGGGATGTGCACCACCTCTATTCCCTGTTCCCAGAAATCTGTCTCCAGGCACTGTTGTCAATCTCAGAGTTCATTTCCTAGATAAACAAACAGCAGTTAATTAACACAAGACAGGCAATGCCTCAAGACACTGTCTCCAACTTGTCTTAGACAACTGTGCTTGTGACACTGGGGTCCCTGTGTTTTGTCTCTTAGCTAAGACGTATAAATCACAAGAGGAATTACAAAGCATGGCAATACATATATGCAAAAGCAGAATGGGCCTGGACCACTGGAGAAATGTACTCTGCTCCTTCGCAGTGTGGAGCCTGGCTCGTGCACAGGGATGCACTGAGCAGCTTGCACTGGTGAAACACTTTCATTTGCTCTGCTATGTTTGCATAGAGGAAATGAGAGAGAAAACTCAGTGTTTCTGGTATGTTCCTCTAGCAGTGGGGACAGCGACGAGGGGCACTCTGTGATCTTCAAGAGATGCTCACAATCTGGAGGAAAAGGACAATGAAATCCTTCCAGCAGGAGCAAAAAAGCATTGTCTTTCTAGCTCATTTTGTTAAATGGAGTGGTGCTGTAGAGTTTGTTAAATAGAGGGAGTGCTGTTCTCGAAAAGCAATTCAAAGAATCTCTTTGCTCTCAAAGCCAGAAGGAATACAACACTAGGGGACATAAACTTAGACTTCTGATGCTAAAGAAGAGATGCATCAGATCATCAGATCAGATTCTCTAAGAGAATGAACAGTTCACCATTTCCTTTGCCTCTTTTAGTCTTCAGTTGTTTCCTAGTAGAAGTACAGAAATCAGCTAAACATGCAAAAATAAGGTTACAGAGATCGGCAGGGGACCTCCAGGTCCATCTGACTCAACGCCTGTTCAATCAGGGACACTCAGAACATGTTGCACAGTCTCATATCCAGGCAGCTTCTGAAAATATCCAAGGAGGGAGACTCCATTTCCTCTCTGGTCAGCTTGTGCCACTGCGATGTCATTTGCTCAGGCAGAACTGCTTCCTGCTGTTTAGACAGAACTTCTTGTTTTCCGGTTTGTGCCCACTGCCTCTTGTCCTGGCAAAGGGCACTGCTAAAAAGAGTGACTGTGTTTATTTTCTATGAAGCCTCATTCATCCAACCCATCATCAGCAGTGTTCTAGGACTTTTTCCCTCATATGCACTTTGATAACAACATAATCATCCTTGAGGTCCATCACCTCCAGAGTGAAAACCACAGAGGAGGAAGCCAGGGGTCCTTAGTCGCCTCACAAAAGGAGAAGCCTTTCCTCTGCTTACATGTGTAGTCGTTGCAGCATACTTTGATTGGCCCTTTGTTCTTCTGAAATGGGCAGAGATGAATTTGCTTGTTTTTTGAGCATCAGGTTTGAATTCCTTGCTTTTGTAATCAATACCTAAGGTTATTAAAACAAAAAGAATCTTAAAAATATGATTTCTCTTCCATCACATATTCCTCTGTTAATTTATGGATATTGGGTGGTGTAATCATATTGATTGCTTCAGTTGACCTCGCACGCGGGTTTCTTATGTTCCAAGTATCCACATGGCTGTACTTAAGCTTCTCACATTTCAAGGAGTGTTTCATTTTTTTCCTCACGATGCTTTCAGTTCACTGTAGGCAGAATGAACCAGAAACTTTGGGAGGGAAGAGAACAGAATGGGGCATCTAACAGCTCAAACACTATATTATCATGTGTCCAAAGGGACTCCTGCATCCAAAGGGACTGCTAATGGGGAAAAGGGACAGAGAGGAGAAAGTCTATATTTATGTTCCACTGGCTTAGACATTTTTACTGCTCAAATCTGCTTTTACAGTGTAAATCTTAATTGTTTGTCTGAATTATCAAACTTGATTTAGGAAGTCAGCATTTTTATGTCTTCTGAGGAGTCATGATTAAGCTTAGTGTTCTTTGACAACTACTAGTCCTCTCATTCAGAATCAATTGAGAAGGTGTAACCACAAATTTCCTGTCTAACTGTTGTGCTAAGGGACTGCATTACATCTCCACAAGTTCCAGTCTCTCCTGGTTGTGCTTTCAGAAGCAGGATCTGTATGCAATGGGTTTCCAGAATTGCTGACCTGGCACACAATGTCATTAAGTCTTGCTACTAAACACATTTCCCACGGGCCACTGTAGATCACGAAGGCTACTTTGCTAATTCAAAACTACTGTCTTAGTTTTCAATTTCAACACTGCAAAATAAGTCAAACTTTTGGTAGTAGATTCACTGTCGGTGAATACTTCCATGCTTTTTCATAAGGGTGAGTCATGACTTAGGACTCAAATACCCTAATTAGCAATTTTCACCTTACAGTTATACATTTTTCTTCTTTCTAAGGTGCTTAGATATGAGATGTTTGCCGGTTAAGTGCATGGCACTGAGATTTGAGACAGTATTCTCTGTGGGAATAATAAACTGTTTTCTGAATACGTTTATGGTAATTTTGTTTAGCACAAAGTAAAGCTGTTTGCCTTCTTTGCTTCCACAGGTTTTACAGCAGTCAGAACACTTTGGAATATGACCATTTTGATAAAGAATCCCCACTTCCATTTAATTGAGAGTACTAAACCCATGTTACAAGCCTCAACAGCCATGAAGCTATAGCTTAATCGAAGTTAAACACTTTTCGCTTCTCTAACAAATTCTGGACCTGTAAAAATCAACAGATATTTTCTGGATTTTTTTCCATAAGAAAACAGTTTTTCAAACTTGGCATCTCCCTCAGCATTTGTTACATTGCACTGTGCTATTAGTGTATGAATAGCAGAAATACCTTGTCATGGAGAGGATTCAGGATGAATAGCAAAGAATAAAGACATGGTCCCTATCTTTACTGAAGGAATACGTCAGTTCAAATTGCTCTCTTAGTCTGTTTCCCACCTTGGCATGACACATCTCTTACTTGTCTCTGGGTTTTGCTGTTTGCAGAAAGAAGGCCAACCCAGAGCTTCCCTCATTGCCCAGGAACTGATGTCTTCAGAAAAAGCGTGAGTTTACTTTTACAGTCCGTCTGATGCTCTCTTAAGACTGAAACTATGCAGTTCACCCTAATTTATTCAGCATTGGTTTGATGGCAATTAATAAAAGTTAGTATCTTTTTCCAGGTATGTGGAGATGCTCCAGCTGTTACGTGTGGTAAGTAAATCATTTTAATTATTGAAACCTAATTGTCATCTAAGAATCACAGAATCTTAGCTGTAATTTAGGGGACATAAAAGCATTGAAGCAGCTGAGATGAATTTGAGGAAGAATGGCTTACACATAAGTAATGCTTTTTGAAGCACTATAAAGGAATATGCCACTAATCTCCTCTTACAACAGGTTCCTCTTGCTAGCATTTCTCATTCACAGGGAAAAGGGCTGCCCAGCAGCACTTAAGGGGCTCTGAGACTGGTGTAATATGCACAGTAGGTCCAGATAAAAGAAGGGGATGGTGAGGGTACACCTTGTTTCTTCAGAAAGAGTTAGACAGGGGCAGAGCTTTGAGACACCGGGGGATTGGTTTCAATGGATTCACTCAGATTCCTATTGAGCTTCTTTTTTTTGATAGTGCAATTCCAGTAATATTCAGTGTGGCCTAGCTTGGGATAGGGCAGCTGTGCAAGCTGGGGCTCACACTCTGACACAGGTAGTCACAATGAACAAAACTAGAGCCCTAAGCTCAGAAGTTAATGAGGCAACACACATGTCTATTAGGAATCACTTGTATTGCCTGTATGAGATTAACCTGCTAGTTGCTTTGTTGCAGAAAATTTTCTGTCCCTGTAGCAGACCTGCCACTGCTTAGGTAGCAGTGAACACCTGAGATCTAAGTTATGAGGCAGTAGGGAATGACAGCCATCAAAGCAAGCATGCTTACCATTTGGAAAGAAATCCCCTGAGAAGGCAAAAAAATAGCCTCAGGTTATCCTTGTGACTCTCAAGGAGAAAAAGAGTAATGAAGTCAGCACTGAACTGTTGCTTGGCTCATTGGACCTCAGAAGTAAGCTGAAATGCTGAAGAGCCTCCTCAGACGTTAACAGCAGAGACATGAGGGAAAGCAACCTTAAATGCAACAAACATCTTGCAGACAACTGCATTTCAGCAAATCAGAAACTACCCAGCTAGTCAGCTGGAAACCATACTTTTAGCTGCTAAATTGAGTCCACCACTCCAATTTTCATAAATTGGTGGTAAATTACCTGTCCCCCCCCATTATCCCACACCCCCTCCCCCTTCATCATTCATTCATTATTGGTGGTAAATTACCTGTCCATGTCTTACCTATTCCCATTTTCTCTGACTGCTACATAGCCAAACACATACTTGCATACAGTTTCCATGTTTCTACAGCATTCTGGTTTAGAAGTAGCAGTTCTTCAACATGATCTACAAAGGTGTTTTCAGGCAGCTAAACAAACAAGACACACTGTAGAGACTATAGGGAAAATGCTAAGTCGTAGCCTGAAAAAGTGATTAAGTACCTGGTGGGAAGGCAGGGCCAGCCCAGGGGAGTTCAGGTGCATGCAATGTGCATGATGAGTGGAAGGGTGCAGCCAGGATCCACCCCCTCCCAAACCTCATTTAAGGGTTGGCAGTGGAAGCAAGGAGATTCACTGGAGGTTCTCGTGTATTTGAGGCCTTTGAAAGGTAAACAGCTTCCCCTACCCCCCCCTTTGTTTTTGTGTTTACAGCTGTTGCATTTGGGCTTGTTCTTGTTTGTTGTAGCTAAGGGCTTTGCTACTGTGCTATTATTGTTGTGCTTTTCATTACTTTATGGTATTATAGGGACTTAATTCAATAACAGGAGTGCCTCTATTTTCCTGAAAAGCCAGATCAAGTTTAGACTATTGTTTGCAGTGTTGGAGATGATAGCAAAGGTACCTTCAGCTCCACTGTGCGTTTCTTGGAAGGCATCAAAGGCAAGCCCAGTGTTTTGCTACTTGCTTTGCTTGGTACATTATAGAAAGCATGTAAATTCAGGATTAAACTAGAGTATGTGTATAGTATGTTGTATTTTAAAAGAGTGTCTAGGAGAGGCCTCTCCTTTGCAATGTGTTCTGCCTCTGGAAGGTAAAACTGGGTCCCTGATACGTCTTGAATATTTTTCTATATGGACATGTGCTTTATTGTAATTAGCAATGCTGTTAATGGCTGCACACCATTATGGTTCCTGTAGTACTGTATTACTGTTGTGATGGCTTTCTTGCCTATGCTGTAACTGGCCCAGGAAAGGGATGCTTCAAGGCTTTCCCAGTCCCTTCAGGACTCTACCCTCTTCTGCTCCCTCTGGAGAATATAGTGAATTTGGCTCTGAAGCATGTGTTTAAGCAAAGTACTTAGGCATTTTAATTACAAACCTATTTTCTGCCTGTAGAAATTACTTGGAAATAATAAGAAATATGATTTTTGCTCTTCTATGCTTGTGACTTCAACATAGGGTAGGGGTTCTAACTTATAGGTACGAGTTCCTGCTGTTCCCCACCCCAGGATCTGCCCCTTCTTCACTCAGGTGTGTCAGTGGCACCTGAGCTCCATGTGTTACTCAGGCCTCCTCATCTGATGCTCAACCATTGGTTCAGGCTGTGACCTGGCAATTCATATGCAGCCTTCAGGGAAACTGTCACTATTTTATCAGTGCTTAATCATTAAGTTAGGATACTGGAAACTGTTAAGTTACAACGGGGGAAGTTCTTCTATTTGAGTTAATATCATTTTCATTTGGAAGCACTTGTTTAGGTTCTAAATATGTTACAGTCCTCTATATACTGTCCAGATTATTCTGCAGCTTGTAGAGTCAATCTAATCATCTAAGGCAAAAAATATCTAAGTCACAGTAATCAACACCATCAGGCTAACATCAGTGGAAAAATACTAACATAGCTTCCCTACTTGGCCCCAAGAGTGACCCAATTGGAGATACTTACTAGAAGAACCAGCTTGTGTAGGCTGGCTAGCAACAAGGTAGAACACTGCAGTCCCCTAGACTTACTTTCACATAAACACAAAAGAAAGTCAGATAAGGACAAACAATATTTTTGTAAGGCAGGAAGCTTTGCAACCTGCTGGTCTGCAGCTGCTGTGCCAGAACAAGTCACCAGTTTTCAGATCTCATAGTTAATGTGGTCTCTCTACTCAAGTTTTGGTTATTTACTCACTTTTTCATTTGCATCTTTACCCCATTTTTCCTCATCTCATGCAAAAACTCCAGGCACTTTGTGGCTTATTTGGATTCAGAAATAATTGGAAAAAGCACTCACAAAATAGGTTTCTGAGCCATCCTACGTGACTGCTCAGTTCCTGCTCTTATCACGAAGAGGGGTGCACTTAGGTACAGATATTTAACTGTGATAGCCAGAATGCCAGAAATGGGAAATTCAGCTCTAAACTCAGCTGCCACTGGTGAAACACACACCTGTCTGGCTCAGTTTCAACTCCTTGTAGAGAATACAAAGCATAATTAAGCCTATAACAGTGCTGCAGGACCATCCTCAGACAAGCACAGGATACTATGCTAATACTATTCAATTAGCTGCACCTTACAGAAACACTGAAGAATTGGGTGCTGGAATTACTACCATCTAATTTTATTGAAAGCAAGTTCCTGTTCTGGTTTGCCAGACAGGTCTATGAAGATAATCAGTCTGTTTACAGTGTCCTAAGTTTTGGGAAAGGTGGCCAGAATCCACAACAGAAAACTAGGCCTCTGCATAGCACTGTCATTCCTGCCTTGTTGTGTTGCATGTGCATTGCCTTACACCCTGTTGCCACTGTTTTCATTCAAACCTCCATAAAGCCTGTCAGAACTGAACGCCTAAGATCCTCTTGCCACTACAACGAGGGGATCTATCTGGCAGCAGGAGGCAGGGAAAACATCAGTATCTAAAAGGAACCTGGAAAGAGGCAGGGCATCACAGCAGCCAGTTTCCTGAAGTATATCCAGGTGCCAGTCAGGGGTCCTTCGCAAGTATGAAGCAGGGAAGATGGGTTCTACAGGAATCAGGATCTAACCTGAAAGCTTTTCAGCATCCAGAGCTCTGGATGAGGGAGATCTTAAGTAATCCTTTGGATAGAAACAAATGCTGTCTGCTCTTGGAATGATTTTCAGATGGGTGCCTTATTCCTAATTTCCACGTCTGAACTGGGAAAAACATTTTACCATGCACAATTAATCAAGTACTCTATTATGTACCAGAATAGAATAGAGTAGAATAAAATAGTTCTATTGAAAGCAACCTTGAAACACCACCTAGTCCAACTGCCTGACCACTTCAGGCAAATTGAAAGTTAAAGCTCGTTAATGAGTGCATTATATAAATGCCTCCTGAATGCTTACAGGCATGGGGCATCAACCACCTTGCTAGAAAGCCTGGTCCAGGCTTCTTTTCCAGATTTTTTCCCTACTATCCAGGCTGAACCTTGCCTAGTATATCTTTGTGCCATTTCTGCACGTCCTGCTAATCAGTTCCCAGGGAGAAGAGACTGCCGCCTCCCTTCTCTGCTTCCTTCCTCAGGAAGTTACAGGGAGCAGAGAAGTTGCCTCTTGGCCTCCTTTTCTCCAGACCAGACAACCCACGTGTCCTCAGCCTGTCCTTGTAGGATGTTTTCTAGCTCTTTTACCAGCACTGGTGCTCTCGTCTGGATGCTTTCTAGAATCTTAAAATCCTTATCAGATTGTGGAGACAGGAACTGCACACAGTATTTCAGGTGAGGCTGCACCAATGCTAAATATAGCAAGAGAATTGCCTCTCTTGACCTTCTGGCTGCTCTGTGTTTAATGCATGCCAAAATGCAGTTTGCCCTTTTGGTTTCCAAAGCACGCTACTGATTCATGTGGATTCTGCTGTCAACCACCACCCCAGCTCCCTTTCCGAAAGTGGATACACTTTAATATTGAGGAAATTATGTAATTAATTAACCACTTCAGGGTAAAATACATGTTTCAGATGATGAAAAAAGTCTCAGTTTTATATAAAAAAATGATTTGTTCCATAGCTTAAACTTACAGCTTCTTTCTCTCTTCAGATTTGTATCTGGAGATGAATGATGTAATTTATAGTACAAGATACTAGAAGTGTTTTTTCTTTCATATTGTGGGTCTGCACAGTGATGGAGATTCTCATCTTTCATTTTTTTTTAAAAAAACTATATTTCTGATTAAGAAACTGTAAAATGAGATCAACTACACCCAGAAAAGCAGGAAAAAAATAGGGAAGCAAATAAGGTAAACTCACTGCATACACAATGCAATACAGACATACAAGTGTCTGGCTTTACCAGGTGAAATGTTCAGTTTTGGATTAACAGTGTTGTGGAATTAATCTGCAAATGCATATAAACAGTGAATGCAAGAAAATATGTGATGATCTCTTTGCTGTACTGCAAATGATCTATCACTACTGATAGTGTATCTTAGAATTCCCAGAAAGTGTAGTTCAGGAGTCAGAAAATGATAACTTCATATGATCTCTTAAGACTGCCTGCCTAATCTCTATGTTGTTGCTTGCAGGATTTATATGAAGGTATCTTGAAAGCACTTGGAGAAGAAGATGAACAGGAAGTAGTTGAACTCAAGAAGGGCTTAAGCGAGCTCCCTGAAATGTGTGAATTGCACCAAGAGATCTTGGGAGAGCTGGAAGAAAGAGTCCTTAAATGGTAAGTAATTAATGGCATGGTTTGTTCAGCCTGGAGAAGAGAAGGCTGTGGGGTGACCTCACTGTAGCCTTCCAGTTATTACAAGAAGCCCACAAACAGGAGGGGAGTCAACTCTTTACAAGGGTAGACAATGGCAGGACAAGGGGAAATATAGTTTTAAGTTGAAGGAGGGAAGGTGTAGGTTGGATATTTGGGGGGAGGGGGGGGGGGAGGGATGTTCTTTACCAAGAAAGTGGTGAAGTGCTGAACAGCTGCCCAGAGAGGCTATGAATGCTCCATCCTTGGAGGTGTTCAAGGCCAGGCTGGATGGGGCCCTGGGCAGCCTGGTCTGGTATTAGATATGGAGGCTGCTGGCCCTCCATGCAGCAGGAGGGTTGGAGCTTGATGATCCTTGAGGTCTCTTTCAACCCAAGCCATTCTATGATAGCCTTGGCATACCCTCCTCAGCCCATTGTTTTCTTGACCACTTCCCCCCCCAGCAGAGGCTGGGATAATTGCAGGAATGAAAAGAAGCTGAACTACTGTGGCAGATCTTGCATACAGGAAGGAAGTAAACATATGGACTGTCAGGCCAAGAAACTAAATACTGAAACACTCATGCAGTGCGTAGCCCACAGTTCTGAGATGGCCTCATCAGTCAGTGTAAGGACAGCCTGCTTTGTATGTGTTATCCTATTGCCTTTCTTTTGTGTATTCAGTCAAGTCAGTTCACAGTCTTCACCAAGAAGCTTCGTACACATAGCTGTGAAAGGCAGGAATGGCTTCAAAAATCTGAACTGGTCCTAAAGAAAATTCTCCACTTGCAGCAATCTACACAGCAATTGTATTGCTCTCAGACAAGCACACTTTACCCCCAGCATCAACATGAGACTGTGGACAGACTAGGCCTTCAAGCCAAGCAGACACTGCTTGTCTGCTGAGGGACTCCAGCCAAGCCAAACACCCTTACACAGAACAAAGTCTTTCCATTTTGTAAGCAGTCTTGGTTAACTGGGGAGGTCTTGGTTGACTGGAGTCTAGTGAATGTGACACCCATCTGCAGGATGGGCAAGAAGGGAACTAAACACCTGCCTGTCTGACCACAATACCAGGCAAGGTTATGGAGCAGATAATCCTAAAGGTGATCAGGCAGCACACAGTGGACAACTGAATGATCACATGCACCCAAATTAATGAAAGGTAGGTTCAGCCTTAACTTCCATATCCCTCTCTGCCAAGATGAACCACTTAGTATATGAGGGAAAGGCTGTGAATGTGTTTTTCCTGGCTCTTAATGAAGCTGTTGTCCAAAGCATTCCCCTGAAGAAACTGGCTACTCATGGCTTTATCAGGCTGAATAGTTCACTAGATGAAGATCTGGTTGGATGTCTAGGCTCAGAGGGTCACAGTAAATGAGGCTGAATCCAGCTGGTGGCCAATCATCAGCAGTGTTCTCCAAGGCTCTGTTTTGGAGCCAGTTTTGTTTAATGTTTTTGTCAAGTATATGGATGTACCAGTATGTTCTGTATCTAGCAAATATCTGTATGTTATCAAGTGTGTCCTCTGAAAGTTTGGAGATGACATTGATTTAGGCAGGATTGTTAATGTGCTTGCGGTAGGAAGGCTCTGTAAAGGGATCTGGATAGGCAGGACTGATGGGCTGTATCCAATTGTGTGGCATTTGTTGGTCCTGTACTTGAACTGTAACATTTCCATGCAGCAGTACAGGCTTGAGAAAGAGTGGCTGGAAGGTTGCCCATCAGAAAAAGACTTGGAGATACTGATTGACAGTCAGATTAATGTGAGCTATCCGTGTGCCTGAGTGGCCAGAAAGGCCAATGGCATCCTGGGCTGTATCAGAAATGTGTGGCCAGAAGGACAAGAAAAGTGATTGTTTCTCTACTCTGCACTGGTGAGACTGTACTTCAAATATTGTGTTCAGTTTTAGGTGCATCACTGTCACTACAAGGAGAATATTGAGTTACTTGGGCACGTGCAAAGAAGAGCAACTAAGCTGGCAGAGGGACTAGAAAACAAGACTGAGGAGTAGATGAAGGAATTGGGTTTATTTAGTCTGGAAAAGAGGCTGAGGGGAGACCTCATTGTACCCTACAACTACCTGGGTGACCACTGCAGCAAGAAAGGTGCTAGTCTTTTTTTTCTGGGGTGACTACTAATAGGACATGAGGAAACAGTCTCAAGCCAGGAGAGGTTTACATTGGATAGGAGGAAGAATTTCTCCATGGAGAGGGGAGTTCAGCATTGGAAAGGGTTGCCCACAGAAGTAGTTCAGTTCATGTGCCTGGAGGTATTTAAGTGTGAACATAATATTAAGAAACATGGTTTACCAATGGGATTCAGTAGGTCAGGTTGATTTTTGGACTTTGTGATCTTGAAGGTCTTTTCCAACCTGAGTGATTTTGTGAGAGAATAAGAACCTGCCTAGAACAAGACTCCAAATACCATTCAGCTAAAGAAACATCTGACTTTAATACAGGATGCCAAGCTCCAGTCTGTTAATCTCCCAGATTAACAGTGTTTAAGAAAATCACCTCTGCAGCCCCAAGCTGACTAAATCTACAGCAGCCAGCATAGTCCCTTGTTTAAGCTGATCTCCTGTAGGACAATTGATGCAGCCCCAAGCTATCATGCTAGGTTCCAGCAGGCAGTGTCACTCTTTGTGGCTGATCCCATCCCTGTGCTGCCATGGAGTTAATGAAGTCAATTGTATCAGGAGAATTTTTCAGTAATGATCCTAAATGCAGGGCGAGTCTCCTTATGAGCCTTATAATTTCAATTTGAATCACACAGTAAGGAAAGGGAAGGCTACAGAGAGCTGTATATTGGTTTGTATCCAGCACGGGGCTGCCATGAATGGTGGAAGGACTTAAATCATTGAATTTGCATTTATTTTATGATTCATAGAATCTTAACACAGAGATGCTTCTAGCTGTGATCTAGAATGACTTGTGCCTTATAGAAGTCATGTCCTTACTCTAGCAGCATGTTGACTATTCCTCAAGGCAGAAGGAACACAGTTGAAATGCCTTAAGCTCCTCTACAGTACAGAACTACAGGGCCCCACAGCCTCTGTGGTATGAGAGGAAAAAAGTGGGTTATGCTGCCTCAAACCAATAGAATCACATACGGCATAGGGCTGCACTCATACAGGTTCCTAGGTCACCACTGCCCCTTAGGTCTACAGTAAGTCACTCCTGCCTGTGCTCTCATTGATGTTCTGTTGCCCTGATATCCCCAGGAACTCACATTTGTCTCTTAACTATGATTACTCTTGTGACATCAGATTTTTATCCTCTTTTCTCCTTCATAAATAATTCAACGTTGTGTTACTGGGTACTGAGACAACTAATGGTGGAGCAGTAGTGAGCAGGGGGCATTGAGGGGGAACTGAAGATATGATATTACAGCTGAAGACATATTGTTCCCCACAACCAGTTCTCAAAGCCCTGCAGCAGCTGAAAGGTCTCCTAAAAGATGAAGACACTGCGTCCTGGAAAGAGACATCCTGCCTGCTACAGACATGCAGTGCTGTGATGGCACTGGCATAGCCAGAGAATTGACAGCCCTTCACCAATCTCTCATTGTGCCTGATCTACAGCAGATTGCTATTGTGTTTGTGAAGTATTTCATGTTTCCTGCCATTTAAGCTAGTCTTTAGCTGCCACTGTGGGTCTGATGAATAGAGCTGCTGCAGTGAGAGAGTTTTTGTTTACCTTTTATTCTTTCTGTGGCCTTAGGGAGGAACACCAGAAAGTTGCTGATGTTTTTCTCTCCAGAAAATCAAGACTGAATCACCACACAGCATACATTATGCAATTTGACAAGAATTTGGCTCTGCTAGATGAAACCTGCCTTAAGTATTCCCAGCTGGCTACTGTCATTCAGGAATTTGAGGTAAGGCGCCCTTATTTTTCCACCTGTGTTGACACATGGCTGTGCCACAGGATTCACTCGAGGTAATTTTTTAATGCAAGTCCATCAGTGTTGACCTCTCCTCACACATCTTGATAATAGAACTGAAGTGGGACGTTCACATCTGCATCATGTGCTTCTGTGTCCATGTCTGTTGCCCGTGCATTCTTCTATGTATACAGAATATATTTGTGAATATACAGACTTGTGAACACATCTTTGCTGAAATATATGCTGGTAGTAGAATAGTTTCTCACTTATATATTAACATATAAATCCCAGTGTGGCTGTGTTCAAATTAATAACTATTATTGTTACTTTGTCTTCTTTCACTCCACTTTGCATCATTTTTGTTCTGGGCCTAACCAAAATGAAGTTAGGGTTAGACTGCATGAGTGCTTAGCTCTTAGCTGGGGTCAATCCACAGCATCTTTAGAACTGGATTTTAAATGCCTTTTAAATGCCTTTTAATGCTTCCTCTGCTTACAGAGGATCTGGTGACAGCCAACTGAACTGCAAAGAAAGATACCACCTCCTCTGCCAAATGCAGTGCTCTGTTCATCCAGACTCCTTGAATGATTTATAAGTTTTGGGCCTGTATCAGTAAGCAAGAAACACATTTTCCATTGTCTTAACTCAGTTTGTTCCTGTTGAATGATTCAAAAATACTATCAAGATACAGCTGACAAAAATTGAGGCCATGATTCTTTGTTATATTTTAAAGTATTTGCAATATAGGCAGTTCATGTAATTTCAAAAGTGTATAATTATTTGTCAGTGGAAAAGTTTAGTTGAATTACACTAGCTCTACTGAGATGAAATGGTCCAAGTCATGATGCTATAAAATGTATCTAGAATCCATGTTTCTTTTTCTCTGGTAAGACAAGTAGCAATGATTACTTGGATAGAAGAGGGCCTGTGAAGATAAATTAGTGATCAGACCTTAAAGGTTATTTAGCCTGCAGCATATGTTAACATTTAAAAATAACATTCTTAAAAATAACAATTCATTTCAAAAGACAATTGGAAGTCAGCATTTATAAACAGATACTTTGCAGTTGCCATAATTACTTCCTGTTAGCAGATGAGGGGAGCTCTGATGGCTCACATTGCTCTGGACCTGAATCTGGAAAACGCAGGTTTTCTACTGATAGCCTGCGTTCCCAGCATCCCTCCTGACCGCCAGGCTATGAACGCCTGTCTCAACTATTAATCCTGGAGTCTAAGAAAGCAGATGGAGCCTCTTCTAAGAAGAGAATAGCAAGTAACAAAGCTTACTGATTCTAAAGTAAAATCTTCTTATCCATTTGCATGTGTGCATGCACACAGACATGGGAGAGGTGTTTATCAGACCTTTCCTATCACATGTTTAAAAACTTGGCAACAGTTAACTTTCCAGTCTAACAACAAAGAATCGAGGTCTTCATCTTGGGGGTTGGACTCCATGATCTCTGGAGGTCCCTTCCAACCCCTACAACACTGTGATACTGTGATCTTGTTTCTCTAACCTTGAGCAGTTAGGATAATGCCGTAACATTAAACATTTCTTCTGCCTGGGAAAATACTGACTTTTCCCAGTCCTTAAACAGTTAAGTTTCCTATTTTCCCTTTCTGCTCTGTCCACTTTCCTGAAGTGGAAAATGCTGCAGAAACATTAGTCAATGAACACTGAAACCCCTGAAGCTTGAATTGCTTTTGGACTCAATTCTCATAAAGAACCACCTGGGTTTTGTGCCATTCCCTCAGGGTCCTGCAAACTTTGTTTCATGGTTCCTCTGGAGATGTGGAGACTTCAGAAAACTGAATTTTGTGGATTGCTGCTGGTTTTGCAGCAGTGTTGAGACACTTCACAGATAAACAGCAAATTTTTCCTATTTTAACTTGGTATCTCTGTAGTCAAAAGCAATAGGTTGAATCTAAAGGGGAAAACTCAGTTGAAAAGTGCTGCCTTTCCATGTGTGTATTAAATCAGAACACAAGTTCTAACTAAATCACAGGAAGATGCTTTGTTGTATTTTGCTTAATTTCATATCTTGAAATAAGGTACTAAAAAGTTGGAGGCAGAAGAAATTTTCAGTTTAAAAAAAAAAAAAAGCTTGTTGATATCTGATACTTCTGACTCTTCATATGCCATCCTAAAACCTTTACCTTCTAACTAGTTCTTACTTTCCTCCCTCTTCCCTCTGAGTCCAGACAATTTGTGAGTGATGCCATAGAAAATAAATTGTTGAAAGTACTACCTTGTACTTAATAAATACCCTTTAGCACTTGGTAAACTGTGAATGATTCAGTGGAATTTTTGCATTCAACTGTTAGTAAACTTTCAGGGTACACATCAGGTGGAGATGACAGCTTGCTGCTGAGCTCACACATCCTTCACCTCTGTTTCCTCTCCCTTCCCTTGAGGACAGAAGAGCTCTGGTGGAAGCCCACAGAATGTGAAACACCAGCTTTTGAAAGTGGTGCAGCGTGTCTTCCAGTATCGTGTGATGCTCACAGGTGAGTAAAACAAGTTCATTCTCGAAGGTACTCAGTGTGCTACACGTGGGTGCCATGACAACTAAACTAGGGCTGGAGCAGTATGGGTGAGAATTCCTGGGAACTTCAGTGTACTTAATGCAGGATTCAGGTAATATCAGGGAGCCTGGGAAGGAGCAGGCAATTCTTCAGCTCAACCATGCTTTAAAGGTCACTAAAAAGTGTATGCCAGGTTTTTTAGCCATTCCTTCCTGCCTTTCCCCTTTCCTGAGTCAGCAGAGGCAGAGTTCAGGAACCTCACTGCCAGCAGGCAGGTTTGATTTCATTTATTTCAGTGGCAATTGTCAGAGGTAATTGGGCACAGGAGTCACTGCAAAGGAAGGCACTCTGAAGTGCGTGCTGTATGACAGTGGCAAGCACTATTGCCTCCTACTCAATCAAAGCAGCTGTACCCAGTACTGTATCCTGAACCCCATGTACAATAGACCTAAGGTTAGTGCTAAACTTAAGTGAAGATTCCAGATCAATTTCTCCACTTTCTAGGAGGCAGAAATCCAGATTTACATCAACAGTGTATCAAAAAGTATCAATGGATCTCACCCTTGTGAAGTTTGTCAGATTTAAAATATATATATCCTTACACAAAGATGGAGAAACGTCTTAAGAATATGTGTACGTGTGGGTAGAGAGGGAATATGTCTTAAGAATATGTATATGTGTGCTAGATGAGCTAAGAGTGGGACAGTAGAAAGGAAGCTACAAATCTTGCTTATACTTAACAGCTGGTGAAAGGCATGACATACTAGAAAGAGCACCTAAAAATGCATCAGAGGGGCCATATGAATTTTTATTCACAGCACACGTTAGCAGCAGCTCCATCTTGCTCCAGATACTTTGATCAGGGATGCGAGTCATTTTCCACAATTGATTTTTCCTTTTTAGTAGCAGCAATGAATTCTGGATGCCAATAATAGGACTTTTTTTGTCTGTCTAGCTTTCCTGCACTAAGGGCTGCTTCCCTGACTGAAGGTACCAAGTTGCCTCACGTGATTCTTACGGTCTCTTCAGTGTCACAAGCACCGCATCTCAAATGTGCTCTTCATTTCCCTTTTGGGAATGCTGCCATCACACTCCCAATTTCTCTATCCATTCCCATGGTCTGTGAGGCAAAATGCAAACATGAAACACTGTTTTGAGGCAGCTGGAATCTGAGTGCAGCTGTAATGATTGGACATTCCCTCCATGCTTGAAGCAACTTGAGCTCCTCCCTGTCCCCTAGTATTGGCATTAACTGGAAACATGAAATGTTTTTTGTGCACTGGAATAATTGTTGCTAGTTCAAGATATTCCAGGAAATCAGCTACTTGGTTACTAGGACTGTGTGGGTCTGGAACAGTGCAGTCCTTCACATCCCCTAGACAGTGTTGAGAGAGAAGAAAGGGAAGGGGGAAAGGGGGGGGGAGAGAGGAGAAAAAAAAAAAAGAAAAAAATACACAGGTGTTTTTGTGTGTTCATAACTGTCTGTTCCTATCAGACAGGGAAGATTGTTTCATCAGGAGATTGGTTGCTAGTTACTGTACTTGAGCCAAAAAGAGCTACCTGCTCAATTAAATGTCTATAGCCAAGGACAGAGCTTGCAGCTATAAAAAGTAACATTAAATATTGCCTGATTATACCAAACAGCCCCTTCCTGCATGACTGAGTGCAGGCAGAAGCTTTCCTGAACTCCAGGCAAAAAGAAACTGAACTGAACTCCTGGCTCCAGAAAGCTGGGCAGTTATTGGAGTGCCACGGAGAGGACAGCCCCAGAAAAATAAATGCGTATTGGCAGGATGTTCAAGAGAACAGATATATGAGCAATGCCATTCCCAGCACGTGGGCCTTATTCTTGGCTGTAGAATTTAAGAGCTTGGATTAATCAGAGATGAATGAAACATGTCATGGTTACACTTCAATTGAAAAAAAAAAAAAAAGTAGTACTCTCTATCACAGCAATTAAAGGCACAAAGACTCAGGCAAAGAACAGACTGCTTACATCAGGTATTAATATATAAAACGTCATTACAGCCAACACCGTTTATTTGGGGGGAAAACAGAATTTATGAGAAGAATAATTATTTGAATTGTTTGTCAAATTGTGTTACTCAGCAATTATCTTGGCTGAGAAACAAGGAAATAACTGTTGTTGTTCTGCTGTTTATGCTGCGTTGTGTGGTGAGTCCAAGTGTGAATCAGTTCTCTTGCACTGATTTTCAAGGTAGAGTACTACCAAAGATCTTTCACTTTGGAATGCAGCAATATAAATCTAATTATTTGGGAATGAAGTAGTATAGGACAGTAATATAAAACATTCTATAATTTTGCTAATCCAACTGCAGATCATATGGATCTGAATTTTGATTTGTTTCATTATTTTCTACAGATTACTTGAATAATCTTTGCCCTGATTCTACGGAGTATGAAGCCACACAAGGTAAAATGAAATGGGTAGAACAACAAGTCCTGTTTCACAAACTCTGCTTCTAAAGAGGTGCCAGATCTATATTGAAAATATATAGAAGGGGCTTATTTTTTAAGATAAGGGTTAGATGTAAGGTCTACAGTAATTCATTACTAACCTAAATAAATTATTAAAGGCAAGAACCCTGTCTTTTTCAGTGAAATGTGCGGACTTTCAATGGCTTTGATGTGATTAACTTACAGAAAAAGAAATGATCATGCGGTGATGCAGTGCTGACATTTTACTTCAGCCTCCATCATGTGAAAAACCCTAGTTCTCTTTGCCTCCATCCATGCTTGGCCTGGTCATTGTAAATCCAGTTGGGATTTGTCCACCTACTTGTTTGTATACCACTATCTTGAACGTGCCTGCTCTCTCTTACAACTTTGGAGACACCCAGATTTGAACTATATATCTGTATACTGTATTATTTAAGACTAAGTAAACCCAGCATAAAGTGCATAAAAATCTGTTCTGCTTAATGAAGAACAGATCCTGAAGTGCAGTTGCTAACGCCACCCTTTCTAACACATTGAATGGATAAAGCAGGAGTCTCCTAATTCCACTGAAGTCAAAGGGAGGTTTAGCCTACGTATGAATGGTAGTACTTTCCAGGCTGAAGTAAGAAGGATAACGCTGTATTGAGGAAACCAGTTTGCCTCTCTTATAGTGTGAATCCAAAGCAAGCCACAGCAAAAAGGACTGTGACTGAAGGTCAGTCTACTAGGACCAATAGTAGAGTCTCACAAAACGTAGGACCCTAGTCACTGACTAGGTATGCTGGCTTTAGCAGCAATTTAAGCCAATGTTCAGGCTGTATAGCTACATTTGCTGATCTTATTTGTGTTCAGTGCATGCTCGTTACACTTCTGGCCAGCAATGGTTCAGATGCTCCAAAATTAGGCCCAAAAATAAGTAGGATGTCCTGCTCCACAGGAAAAGAGATTTGAAAGAAAGATCTAAACTGTTACACTGTTGCCCTTGGGCCAGCTAACAGTGGAGAATCCAGATATTAATTCATGTCACCACTTCATGCACACTTGTCAAAAAAGCATGTCCTATGCTCTCCCTTGGCAGTAAGGGCAGTCCAGGTGACTTAACTTCCATCCTTTTAGATGGTGGAAGCTGGATTACATGAATCTATCCCTACCACAAGCTTCTACTTTTGTAAGTCTGTAGCTAGAAAACATCATAAAATATTTTTTGCTTTAAAGGAACCTCATGAGCTCTGTGTCAATACATACATGATGCAGAGCTTTCATCAACAGAAGGATGTATCTTCTGGGTCTTGAACTTGTTGGGCAGTTGCATCTTGATGATGCCAAAAGATTTACAGAGCTGCTGCCAAGGGTTGTTTTTTTTTGTTTGTTTTTGTTTTAATTAAGGATATCCTTCTAAACAGAAAGGATTTGGGTTTTCTTCCTCTCTGACATTATTTGTGGCCTTTGTTTTACTTCGTTCTTCAGCTGCCTTATTCATTGTTTCTGAAATTGCGGATCAAGCCAATGAGAGCATGCTCCAAGGGGTGAGTGCTACCCTGATACCCTCTCTCCTGATCAACAGTCTTCTCTGTACATTTGATGAAGTGACTTCATATCTGTTAAATTCTGAAGCCTCCTGCAGGGTGAAGCTCAAGAGTTTATACAGAACTGGTTTAGACCACTGCAGATATGGAATAGGTAGTATAGCTGTGCAAGGTGCAAGTCACTGTAGCAAGCGGCACAAAGTGCTTTTTTTCCTTTTGGGATTGCTGAAATGGGATGTGACACAAGGAAGTGAGAGATGGGAATTTTTGTAGTTATGTTTTTAGTCTAGGATGGTTTTGGATATTAAATGCTGAAGTCATTAAATATGTGCTGTCAAAAATATACTCCAAAAGTCATTTATGTCTGTTTTCCTCTCTTCTGGAATCCCATTTTACTGAAGAATTTATTCTGGTTTACAGTCTTGTAAACGTTCAAGCAGCCAACTGGCCATGATTTTCATAGGGTATAGCTCATGGCTCAAGTAAGATTTACGTATCTAAATAAGTCATGTAGTTGTCTGAAGTAATGAACATTCACTATTAAGTCACTATGACATATTTTTCACGTGGTATCAGAATCCTGATTTACTGGCAAAGATAGCTGAAGTATAACTAGTTTTATGACCACTTGTTTCCAAAGATCTAGATCTGATTTTTATCTAAGATGACAGGAGTCTTGCTGCTGACATCAGTAAGGTGCCAGCTGGGAGGCTGTAGAGAGGGTCAGACATGGGGATGCAGCAGGTTCCAAAGAAATTCAACTTGGTGGACCTCCAGGTGGTATCATAGCTAGAGGAAGTATCTCTTTTTGCCTTAGCAGCCACTCACACTTTCAGATAAATTCCCTACGTTGTCTCCTGAGGCTCATTTATGTAGAACTATGTCTTTGCGCAGACGTAGCGTCCAGAGGAAGTATTTTGTTGTTGTGTTGAATCACAGTAATTCCAAGTTCCATGCATCGTATCTTTTGGGAAGCTGTTCATGTTTTAATTCTCACTCGGATGTTGTGGACTTTAGCAGTCTGCCTTGGGATTTTACTATGCCTTTGCTAAATTAGAGATCTCTCTCGCAGTGCAAACATCCTTCCACGTAGTTAATTACAGCTGGCACTCAAGTTGCTTCTTCATTATTTCATCTGCTTAGCAGAAGATGGTTATTAACAATTACTCAGGCATCATAACATGAAATCCAAGGGACAAAGAGGAGAAACCTAACCGTAAAGGGGAGAAATGAAGTATCAACTCATCTTATCGGGAGTTTGTTTTCAAATAGGATTTTAAAGTTGAAAGAATAGGGAATTTGTAAGGAAAGACATGCTGAGGGCCATTACAGATGCATACCAGCACTGCTGGCTCAGCACATTTCCTTTAATGCCTTTGCCTTCTGGCTGCAGGGTGAAGGAGTAAGGCAGATGAACCTAAGAGCCAAGAATCTCAACTTCTGCTCACATCTGACAATCCCTGCTGCTCAGATTTAAAAGCAGTGTCTCTGATGTGTGTGCCAAAGTCATAAATGCAGCCCATGTGTTCGTGGGCTGTTTTAGAGCACCATATTCAGTGATGATCACTTCATGGCCAGAGAGAGAAAAGAGCTGAATCTGGTAATAGTTGTATCAGAAAGACATAAGTTGTAGTTAAAAGTACATACAGTTTTGTGAATAGAGAAACCTGGCTTTGTGAATCTGATTCCTATACCTTCCAATGTATAGAAACTGAGGCTAGGGCTCTGAACCTGCTTTTCCTGAAGTCAGTGGCAAGATTACTGCAGATCGACATGAAGCCTAACTAGTAGGTTTCTGGTTTTGTGTGGAGACAATTTCAAGCCATGGGAACAGATCAAAACTTTGAGCATCCTGAGGTTTAAGGTTTTAATGCCAAAACTCAGTGTTTGGAACTATGCTGTCATAGTGAGAACTTAAAAAGGGGAGAAGAAAAAAAAAAAAAAAAAAAGCGTGGGCCTATTTTTTGTGTCTTTTTCCACTTTTCAGTGTCAAGCTTCTCAACTCCCTGCTGTCCTACCACATCTAGCTCAGAAAATTCTACATAGCAGTCATGCCAGTATTACTGTGTTGGTATGGTTCTGTGACAACCCAAAACCTTTCCAACCTTCGCTTTAGGAGCAGCATTTCTTTTACTTCTCCTGATTACCATGGGAAACACTGTCTTTTTAACCGTCTCCACCATTAGCAATGAACAAGAGCCTGCACACCATGTTTGTACGAGTTTGCACCAGAGGAGGTGGCCCGCTGTCACGCTGCTGAGGTGCACCACCCACCCCTCGCTGTGTTGCACTCGCTGTTGGGCCTACATAAGTGTTCATTAATCATCCATTGCTGTCAGTGGGCGCTGCTTTTTCCACATGGAGGAGTTCAGTTCCATATTTTTGCTTTCTCTACACCTTTTGTCAGATTGCCCCTCTGCTGCCACCTGTCACGCATTTCATAATGGCTTTAACCTTAGGCATTACTATTGGAACAGCCGTTGTATCAGGCAGAATGAGGACAAAAGTTGTGAGGGAAGTTTCTGAAGGTGGAATGATAGTTGTGTTGCAGTCATACATGTAATAGTGAAAGAGAAGGGAAGAAGCATAATAGAAAGGAGATGCATGGAAATAATGATATTATATGGACTATTTCCAAATAATTTTCACCAATAATCAATTGATTACTGTACAAACACTGTACTGCTACCAGACAAGCGCATGTAGACAGCAGGGAGGATGTTGTTGAACAAGCCTAAATTTTACCATGAAAAGAAATGTAATTTAGCCACTTGACAGAATGACTCTGAAACCCTGGACTTGCTGGACAAAGCTTTCAACAGGTTTGATTTATTTTCTCCCTAGGCATAGGCTTCCCAGTCATCCTTTTTCATTAATAAAACATTCTTTGTACCAAAATAAAAATTTTACTTAATTATATAATTGAGATCTCAGGTTTTCACCATAATCTCACAGGTTTAGGGACACCCATATTAGAGGCTGAGAATTGTAGGAGCTCAGTTTCTATCAGAGCAAGGTCCCACATTTTTTTGTGGTTCCTCTGCTTCTTTAGGTTTTATTCAAATACATGGGAGATTTGTATGAATACTTCTCTGTGTAAGAGAGTGGACAGAATCAGATTTTCATTCCCACTGCAGTGAAATCAGTGGAGTTATATTACTGGTGGAAATAGTCATGAACGTTCAAACCCTGTTTTTTTGTATCATGGGTTTTTTTTGTATAAACCAAATAACTCAATTTTGGATTTTGCCTACGGGGAGAACCTCCAAGAAGATATCAACAGAGAGCATCAACGTTGGGCTGGATGCAATTGCACTAAGACATGGGTGTTAGTTTGCTGACAGCGCTTACAAATCTTTCAGCTGACTCATTTTGACAACAGCTGAGTTTTTTGTGGGTTAGATTGGCTCTGCAGGAAGCCACGCCATGCAGGAAGGAAATCTAGTAGTAAGCAACAGTTATCAAAACAGCAAATAGAGATTCTCTGATACTTATGGCTAAGGAATAAGCAACTTCCTTTGAAGTGGTAGTGATTAGCTTGTAGCTCTTTCATACTTTTTATGAAAGATTGATATTTACTGTGGTGCATTGCTGTGAAATGATTCTTATCTCCACTAATCCACAGTTTAATTTGAAGAACATCACCAGACCCTCTGTGTTTTATAGACAAAACAGGCTGTATAGTATTTACTTTAATGTCTGTTTGGGAACAATTTCATCACACATTCCACACTGACCTTTACACTTCATTTTTTATCATACTGTCAGAGCGTATCTACTCTTTTTGAAGCTATGGCCTGGAAGAGATGAAATAAAATCTCCTTCTCTCCTGACTGTGTGAACACTGTGGGTTTTGTGAAGATTCTCACGTTCATGAGGATTGAAGTTCAATATTCTGCGATATCAGAGATAGCTTAATATCCCAACGAAGAAGATTGTAACCAGAGGTTCTGTTCTTTCTCTCGGATTTTCAAAAATGCAAAGAATTTTAGAAGTGTCTTTAATTACAGTGCAATCTGAACAGAGTAACTCAATTTAGTGTTAGCAACTTGACATGCACTCAGCTGAAGTTCTAGCAATAATTGGTTTGGCACGTATCTGGAAAGAGGAAGTATTCTGCTGCTATTTATTAACTGATCAAACTATACTCTAAATATCAGATGGCAATACTGAATTATGATCTATATCTTCTGCAGAATATAAAAGATTTGTTATTGGCTTTTTTGTTTCATTATAATAACAGTTCAGCACACTTCCCCTGGAAACTATTAGCCCAGGACTTTCAGACATATTAGCATAGTAACTATCTGCATAGCATTCTTCTCAACTATGAAAATATTATTGGCAGCTTACAGATGTGCAGTAGAGGCAGAAGTTGTGCCATCACCACATAGCATTGAGTCTATCTGTAACTCTTGGAGCCATCCACTACTTGAACTGATCAGGGTTTGCATTGCTTTTTGCACTTCTTCAATCTTTTAGAGGTCTTGCAATGCTAGCAGATAAATTAGATACAATAGATTAGATACAATAAATTATTGTAGCTGTTAGCAGCTGGTGAATTTCTGAGGAGGCAGTACTCCTTTGTGGATGCAATGATAATATTGCTTGCCATACGGAAGCTGCGGTTCATTGCTAACCTTTCCAGAGAAGGATTTTAGCCACTCCGTATTTGCAGTACTAACTGGGTGGAGCTTTGTTTTAATTTTGGAATTCCAGCTTTGGAAGGGTATTTAACAGAAGAATGAATAGGGTTTTAAGAAAAATGAAAAAAACAGAGTGTTTTAGGGAACTCTAAGGAAATTGTACCCTCCTAAGCTGCCCGCATTTCCAGATAAATCACAATCCTTCACATGCAGGGTCTGTTTGACTTCCTACAGGAAATGCTTTTGATACATCTTCGTCCATTTTCTGGTGAACATATGTCCATGTTGCAAAAGTCGGCATTACAACAGCCGTGTCACGAGCAGTGCTAAGAAAAGCTGCAGTGCATCTGACTGGCAGCAACTGAGTTCTTCTTTCACGCTTATAGAAATCACAGTGTGTAGCACCAGTACTTGCCAAGAGTGTGCTCACAAGAAGGCAATGCCTTTTCTATAGATGAAGAACGGGCTTTTATTCTGGAAGATGTCAATTTGACAAGTTTTGCTAGGGCTAAAATACCTTTCAGTGATGGAGATGTCCTCTGAAAATGTCTTTTTCAAGTGTCAGTTGTTGCATTATAGCTGACGGTTCCTGTGCTATTAGTTTATATATTGTTTCAGTTTTGCAAGCCTGTAGTATTTTAGAAGTTACATGAAAAATTCTGTTTGTTGGTTGCAGCATTGCAAAAGATATACCTGATGGCTGAAAGTGTTGAAAATATGTCAACTGCCAGTTCTGTTGTGTGCTCACAATACAGCCTTGTGCTACTCAAGGCTTGTAGGTAGTCTAATGTGTTTGGTATGTGGTTATTGATTTAGAAGTAAACCTTTCTAAATAAGTGCAGTTTTTCACCAGAGCAGTAACATACAGAGCTATTTCATGTTTATCTCAGAAAGCAAGCTGAGATAGCTGCATTAATTGTTAGCTGGAATTCAACATAAATTAGCCTGAAAGAACATTATGCTGACATAGATGCGCTCCTTCTGATATCTGTGATGGTTTTCTTAATTAGCTTATTTAGTAGATGTCACTGATTTGTGTATCTTAGATACATCCTTGATTACACTTTAAAATCTAATAGAATCTAACTAAGCCCAGGGATAGCTTGAAGTCAGTCAGTGCAGCAAAGGTGAACATGTCATTCTCTGACATAGCAAAAAGTAGTTAAAGGCTTCCAGATCATGAAACTGTCAAATATGATGCTTAATCAGTAGCTTTTCTGTGTGTGTAATCAGGGAGTTAGAACAGTGGTTAACTTGGACAAGAGAGTGCTAACATTTGGACACATTCTAGTGATATCTCAGTGCTGTTGTGCAGCTCATTTTAGTGCTTAGACCAGATAAAACCACAACTGTGTGCAAGCCTGGGTTTTAGCAGCAGTATCTGCTACACAAATGATTTGAAGAGACTCTAGCAGTATTGCTCAGATGCAGACCCTCCTTCCTCTTCTACATATTCCATCCAATACGATCTTTGTTTTAATGATTGTAAAGACTTAATTAGATTAATTTCATTTACCATCTTCAGATAAATTAATGTCATGTGCCCATACCCTGTCTGTGCTCTCAAGTCAGGCAGGCAGTTGTATGAGAACTGCTAAGTCACAGCCTGAACTGATGACTGAACACCTGGTGAAGGGACACAGCCAGCCCTGGGAACACAGGGGAAAGCAATTCGTCTCTGCGACTGGAAGGGGTGGAGCCTAGTTCCACCACTCCCTAAGCCTTATTTAAGGGCTGGTTGCCCCAGGGAAGAATTCCTCTCTACCTGGTCATCCCTTCTTTTTGAGTATTTGGTGAGCCCTGATCCTTGGGATGGGTAAGCAACTCTTTCTTTGACTGGCTTGTGACTATTGCTTTTTTGGAGTGATTTAAAGCTAGTTACCTGCCTTTCCCTACAGTAGTCAACAGTATTGGAGTCTGCTGATGAGCTTCTTTGCAAATCATCAAAAGAGATGCGATGGTAATACCTCCTTACTAGTTAAGCTTCTGAATTCCCTGGTTCAAAGTCACTAATCTGTTAGTGCAGAATATAAACCTCCAGATAATCCTAGCGATGGCCTTACTGCGTCAAAGCATGCTTTGAATTATCCATGTTATGCCACTAATAAGCAAGCATTGGAGTAGTTACTGTATTTTGTTCCTGCTTATAGTTTTTTGGTTTGCAGATCAAGAAAGCTAGTGAAGATGCTAATGTATGAATGCTGCATGGAGTGAGCGGGCTGTTCTGAAAGTAAACTAAAGGACGAGGGGGCGGGTGTTAAAAAGTTATCAGTGTATGGTGTCACAGCAGATGCGAATGCAGGTGGTGAGGTTCTATAGAACCTGTGAGGCTGGAAGAAGACTTCCTGTACTTAAAGACTGTGGGCTTAGTTCTTTCTGAAACCTTGTTCTCTAATATCACTTCGCTGTTACAGAGAAATAAAATGGTGAGGAGGGATGAGGGACGGTATGTCTGTTTGACTAAAGAGCAGTCACCATCTAGTCATCTAAATGTTGCTTCTCTCCCTTAGGAAAACTTGCAGAAGCTGGTCCACATTGAGCATAGTGTGAGAGGGCAAAGCGGCCTCCTCCAGCCAGGAAGGGTGAGTGCTGCAGGCAGAACTGTGCCGATAAGGACATCGTTTCCGGCCAGCTTTATCTCTTTCTGTGTGGATAGCAAGATTTCAGACATCTACAGGTGTTGTTTTCTGCCCCTCTGTGATAAGAGTTGTAGCGCTGGTTTATGTAAGCAACCATCACTCTGGCAGTGCTCTGTGATTTCACATGTGTGAATGGCCATTGTACTTCTTGCTCCCACTCTCTTAAGCTACCCCATGGGTATCATGTTCTGGAGAAGATGCTGTTTGCCTTCTGTACTCCTGTTGGAAGGTGTGAAATGCTAGCAGAAACTGCTTGCAGCCTGTAAAGGCTCAAAACTTTATTTGGCTAGGTAAGATTACTCTAATCGGGGGATTACATACTTTCAGATTTTCATTGTTACTGTTTGCCAGTGTGCTTTTAATACAAGATATCACTTTTAAATGTTAAGTCACAACTTGAAACAGTGATTGAGCACCTGGTAGGTAGGCAGGATCAGCCCTGGGGAGCTCAGGTGCATGCAGTGTACCTGAGTGACTGGAAGGGATGGAGCCAGGATCCACCCCTTCCCAGACCTCATTTAAGGGTTGACAGTGGAGGCAAGGGTATCTCACTGGAGATCTCTGCATACTTGAGACCTGACAAAGGTAAGCAGCTTCTTTCCTTTACTCCTATGCCCACAGTTATTATGTATGAGCAAATCCTCACTTGCTGCAGCCTAGGATCTTGTTGGTCTGCTGTCATTGCTGCACTTTCCATTGCATTACAAATATACGAACAGAAACACAGGAAAGAGGATAGTTGAAGCACCAAATGTAAAATTTTCCTCTTATGTTTCCAGTATTGCCAGTTTTCTTAGGTCCAAACTGCTCTACACTTTAAAAGATTTCTTTCTTGAGTTATTCAATCCTACATTTCCATTCAGACCATTTAGCTGGTTACACATACATTCCTATTTACACACATAATAATAATATGGACAGACAAGGTATTGTGCTTGCAAATATGTACGTGTACACAGGCTTAGTTATGTGAATAGGTCTCAATATTTCTTTTCGGTTCGTTTGATTTTTCATAATTAGGGGATGAGTTCTTCTTTTGAAGCCCAGTAGATGTTGGCTGTGCAGAAGAATATGCTGAGGACTGCCTGGTGTCTCACAAGGGAGTTTCTAAACTGTCAGAGACAAATGCAAGCAATAAAGAGCAGCGGGGCTGACACAGGCATAGACTAAGGCTAATCATGAGGAGGGCTAGAAGCATGTGTTGAGGTATCCATCCGTTACTGTGCTGATGAAAGCAGCTGAGTGCTGCCTTCTCACGGAATGTATGTTCTTGCTTCTTAATAAACTCCAGTATGAAGTCTCAGGATTACAACTTTTTCTTTTCCTTCTAGATCTTTGTGAAAGAAGGAACACTGATGAAAGTCTCTGGGAAAAACAGGCACCCTCGGCACTTGTTCTTGGTAGGATTTTTTTTGTTTTTACTGTATCTTTCGTATCTTCTCCACCACTACGTCATTTCATTGTCAGCAGTGATGTGCTGACTGGGCTCCGGTTGCTATCAGGATGTACAAGTCTGTAGGCCTTCCATATCCCTGTTAGCACTGCACAGCAGTAAGGGCTGTGCAGCCTTCCATTTTTGCCACAACTCTATACAGCTCTGACTAAGCCATAATTCTGCAAAGGAATGCAGGTTTCCAATGTGCTCAGGAAGATGGAAGCACTGAAGTGCACGTTTCCACTGATTAAGCTTTGCTCTTAAAATTCTCCTCTGAGGCCCTAGGAGATCTGATCAGAAACAGAAAACAAACCCTGCTAGTAAGGTTTACGAAAACAGCCTTTGGGCGTATTTGGACAAGATTTCTATCCTTGAAGCTCAGAGGCTAGGTTTTAGTTCCTGATGTCGCCAAGTAAATCAGCTGATAACTTTCTGAGCTACCTAGAGACAGTCCCTCTGAAAGCACACCTTCAGATCTCTGTTGACTCAAAGCAGCAGTTTTCAGTTAAGGCCTTGCAAAATTTTAAGACAGTTATGAGAAATTAACCTGTAATCATTTGGCTGGAAAGCCCTTTACATGGATCCAAACTGAACTGGAAAAATGTAAGCATTCACAAATCAAAACACGAGAAACAACTCTTGTAGATGCAACATTAGCACTGATGCTTTCTGTTCTGCATTACACGCAACGCTGAAAAGTTATAGAGGATCTGAGACTCCAGGCTCGTGAGTTCTGTTTGTTGCAGGTAGCTCACTGTACAACAACAGTTATATTTATGCTTTCATTTGTATGAAGGGGAAAATACTTGCATGTCATAAAACTTTTGCAATGATTACCTATTCATGTCTGTGAAATTAAAAAGCACCATAGAGTATTGAGCACTACTGCTGATACTAACATTGAAGTATTGTTTGCAAACTTCACTTTAAAATAAATGGATCACATGCCTGGATTATATATTCACTATGGTCTCTGTAAGTGTTGACAGCTTTTCCCCCTAGGTCTATTATGAGGAGAGATGGCTTATCAGAAAGAGTAGATTTTTGCCATTAATTCTTTTTCCCCCTTATTAATAACAATTCCTACTTCTACATAAGTAGGATACACAAGCTTCTCTACCAATTGCTCACATACTGCAGTCATAATCAAAGGTCAGATGAGACAGGGCATAGTACTGGCACTGCACTTCTCTGATGGCTTCATTAGTTTTATGTATAAAAGTAAATATTTTCAGTAGAGGAAAGGTGTGAATTTAAGAGATTTCATTCAAGTCTGCATCTTTGGACTATAAAAATAGCAAGTAGAAATGAAATCATGACTTCCTGGCAGCTGGAAGTGCAAACCATGACCAAGAGTGCTGTCATGCAAAGTATACGATGGACTAAACCATTGTGGTAACTTTAAAGAATCAGAAGGTGCACAGAAGTTTCCTTTCTCCTCTAACACAAATTGAAATCACCTTAGGCTTCTTGCACTGTTTCTTTGAAGGAGGGGGCAGTTGGACCTTGGAAGTGGTTTAAAAGTCATAGGCAAAGATCTTTCCTTTAGTTCAGTGATATTTTTTTGTTTGTTTTAATTTTTTTCCCCACACCACCTGCCCTTAATCGTCTTCTCCTCTGAAAGCTGCTTAGGCTGCGTAGCAATGCAGCGATTGTGAAAATGCAGGAAAGAAAATCAGTGTGAAATGACTTAATTCCTGCACTAACATCTGAATGCTTTTGCATTACCTGCTAACACTGCAGACAGTGTTTCTGTAATGCTGTCACCATTGCAGCGATGTTTAATGGTCTATTCGGTCTTAAAACTGCTGTGTAACTCTACCAGCAAACTGCCGTCTTTGAATGTAGCAACTTTTCTAAGGCAGCCTTAAGGGCCTACCGCCATCGCTGCCTGTGCCTTTTGTAACACTTCCCTTCCTCTGCCAGTGTGTGTGGCCCGACCGACGTACTATCTTGGTTCTGATATCCAGGGGACAGAACACACAGAAAGCCCCAAGAATAAAGTCTTCTAAATGTTGTCTTTTGAAACTTAAATTTTTAATCCCTCTGTATCTAAGTATTTTGTAACACTGGCAAAATTCAGGTAGAACAAGAACTTGCCCTGTGATATTTATCAAAAAACTTTCAGAACTGTGTACTTTTTACGATGCTGCAGTTGCCATACTAGAAAATTATTAGACATGAGTATGTACAAGTATAATTTAGCTTAGTTCTGCATGTAATTTTTTAACTTAGCTACTCAAAATAGTGTTATATGAGCACTCTTTTCAAAGTTCTTTGTATTGAACTTACACTGACTATAGTTAACATGAAGAAAATATCAGCAGAAGAGTATGCATTGAAAGATAAACCCCTGCATATCCTGGGAGATGAGCTCATCAAACTGAAGTTGTAGTTAGTACATGCCTGAAGAATTAGGTATGTACCAAAATTGTATTTGGCCTCTTCCTTCAGCCTGTGTTTTGATGGTGTGCACACATGTGCTCTGAATATATGCCCCTAAAGAGAGAGCCATCTGTGCACAGCTCATATGGACACAAATTTGTAACACATGCATTCACGCATTTTTGGGGTGTGCATTTTTGAGTGCGCACACGATGTGTATCACAAGTTTTCTTGAGCTGGTGGTTTTGGGCAGGCTGATGATATTGTTGAATGTGGTGCTTCCTGGCAGGATGTTTGGTGAGGTTTGCTGGACGCCTGTTTCCTGAGTCCAGTCTGTTTACAGGGACGTTGGGGCCTCTTTGCAGTTCACTATGGGGCTGCTGATGCTGGCAGGCCCCCTGACTGCCCCACAATCATAGAACTTTGCGACTCGTACATTGTCTCTTATCTCACCCTTCCAAGAATTTCTCTACAAAGGCTGCTTGTGTTGCAAGTGGGGTGTGGGAAGCTGCTATCAAATGAGAGATTGTTTAATGCTCTAGCCAGCAGGACTGGAGCATAGGAAGTTTCTGAGTCACAGCCTGGAAAATGTAGCTGCAGCGCACATTCAGGCTGCTCTGCTGACACTCAGAAGATGTTTAACACTCACTTGAATTGGACAACATAGGGTTCATAGTGAACTATCTTTCAAAAACATTCAAAAAAACCCAAGCATATGGTGGGAGCTTTTTGGCAGGGAGTGCACTGTGGGTGCCAGCTGTTCAGCATAGCACAGATAAACTTGTCTCTGCTGCAGCCTGCAGACTTGATGCTGTCATATTTAGGTGAATTCTGCTAGCAAGGAAAGCCAGTTACTCCTCTCATCCAAACCATTCATCCCTAAATCATTCTTAGAAACCTTGACACTGTACTTCCAATTCCTTTTTGCCCAGAAAACAGAAGTCTACGAAACCCAGCTCTACTTCTGGCCTTGATGCAACTTTACTGTTACAGGACTAAGAGAGTCAGAGCTGCAGAATCCTGGGCAGTTAGTTGGTATTGCCATGTAATAAATGCATAACCTGCATTCCTGACTTGGACACAGCACTGCCCTTAACACAAGCAGCTATTTAACCAAAGCTGAATG